CAGTAGAGATAGTAGTTTCTAAGCACACATCAGATGTCATACACACAAACAGGCAGCTGAAGATAACGTAAAATATAGGAATTGGGTAGAAGATACTTAAGATCTTTTCTTACTGGAAAATTCTAAGAACCAGCATTATTTGCAGGAATATATATAGAGATACAGAAATAAGTGGCAAATGTACACACAGTGTAAAGAATATGCATACTTGTCACATGAATAAAAATCTAGAATCAAATAGAGAGTTCAAATAATGGATATTGTCACATGCTGAATTCGTATTTAATGAGAAATGATAACTATACAGATGACAAATAAACACAGATATCACAGATCCATTTCAGAAAGCAATGTCCAGGACTCACAATATTCTAGACAAGTACAGATCGAAACATATTCATTATAATTTCTGCACCATAAATCCACAGATTGGGAATTCATATATGAAGTAATGATTCTGAAAGTTCTTCAGAACTTTGAAACGGTCAGAATGACTAAGTTATTTATATGTTTTATCTTAAATATATTTATGCATCTAATTCTTGGCAAATTGGTAATGCATGCCATACGAGATACAATCTCTCTTTACAAACTAGTTTTTACAGACTTGGAGACCAAAGAAATGGTAAAATGGTCTAAAGGACAAAATACACAAATGTATATATGCACATTTCTATTTATTTTATTTTATTAGTTATTTTGAGACAGAGTTTTGCTTTGCCACCCAGGCTGGAGCGCAGAGACACGATCTCGGCTCACAGCAACTTCCACCTCCCGGGTTCAAGCAATTCTCGTGCCTCAGCCTCCTGAGTAGCTGGGACTACAGGTACACATCACCAGACCCCGCTGACTTTTTGTAATTTTTAGTAGAGACAGGGTTTCACCATGTTGCCTCAGCCTCCCAAAATGCTAGGATTACAGGCTTGAGCCACCGTGTCCAGCCATTTGTATTTATTTTAATGAGTGAGCTTCTATAAAAGGGTAAATTTTCATCAATCTCTCTCATGAACAAATATTCTGAGGAAAGCTGTTGTGAGAGGAAAGGAAAACTCACAGTGTTTACAGAAAGGAGATCAATTATCCTTAAGCCAGGAATGGAGCTGTCCTGAGGTTTTAATCAAGAAGGGAGAAAGGGGAAGAGGTAGGTGAATCCACAATAAGTTGTTAAAACAAAAGAAAAATACGCAAAAAGTGAAATTCTCAATAGGTGCTCAGCTCATAAAGTTAGTGCTCTTCAAAACCCCAAATCTGTTCCTCCACGTTTCCCTGCTTCTCCTACAGCGAAGTTGGTGCAAAGTGACAATGACTGGCCCAGAGATGTACTCTGAGTAGCAATGATGCAGGGGTTATTTATGATAAGTAATTCAGGCTTAACACAGTATGACTCTGTAATACACACACAAACACCAGTGTACACTGCCTCTCAAACTGTGGACACTCCAGGATAATTTGATCGCGTGTTGAGTGTGTACCTGAATACACATACACACACACACACACACACACACCACCCTATCCTGAGACACTCCTCCAGAACCCACACATATCAATACCAACCTCTCACCTGAGTTTGAGTAAGAAATATAAAATGTCTGTAGAAGACACTATTTTGCCTGCATACAATGTGTCTGTGAATAGTCACGTTGATGTATTTGAATGAATTCCTTGAAAAAAAATGATGTGAGGTCTGTGTCTAAAATAAGTCAAGGTATAGCAGTCTAAAATTTGTACAGTGACTGTGATGATGGTGATGATGGTGGTGATGATGGTGATGATGGTGGTGATGATGATGATAATGGTATCATTCCACAATGCTGCATCCATTTTTGATAACTTTAGGGTTAATACATAAACTGTTGGATTATTAATGCTTTCGGTGATTGAGTTCTTAGTTTGGCTGCAAACCAAAAACCGACTGGATATTTTGCTATATATGCCTTGCTTACTAAACTTTACTTCTTTGCCCAAACAGTGGGTAAGGGACTGGACTCAAAAGGTTGCTAGCTTCCCCAGTGAGACACAGGGCAAGGGCCCTTTTGACCTCGTAAAACTGGAAGCCCCTCTGAAAGGGCTGACTTGCTACCTAGAGGACGAGAAATGCCTTACAGCCCTCATTCAAAATTGCACTAATCTGTGAGGAGCAAAGCGCACATTAGAACATTTCATCATAACTTATGTTTCATGTCAGTAATTATCTCTGATGCAATTGGCCTCATATCCAGGCCTTTTTTTTCTCCATTAGAATATCACAGACTTCGATTTTTGAAAGAATGAGTCCTGTCCATAATAAATCAAATATCTATGCATGTTTAATTACAATTATTTATATTTTGAAATTTAGTTTTGGACATAAATCATACGAAATCATCTTATCCTTAGAGTTAAAAAATATGTTACTTGGAAAAGTTCATACTTTCGAGTCCATAAAATTAGGAATAAGTATTACTAACTATGCAAAGGAAATATTAATGTTTGGATAATTTCAATTTTTATGATTTGGGGTATGACTCTTTAAGGCACACAGTATTTGCTTAGAGTTTTACTCTCTTATGGGACTCACTTAACTTAGTAAGGTCACAGAACCAGCCATGTGAAGTTCTGCCATTTAAATTCACTCTTCTGCATATTAGAATATTCTGAATAGAAAAACATCTGACTTAAAAAAAAGTTCCCAAAATAGTCAAGGTGAATTTAGTATTTTGATTTAATTTAAAACAAAACTGTTTCAATATCTAACTTTGAAGTTTACGTTTCTCAGGTCGAAATGGAGGACAAAAGCAATTAATTTTTATATAAACACACTTTCATTGTTTTCTATGAAGGTTGCACTTTACAAAGGCAAAGCTCTAAACAGTGAACACAGCAAAAGAGGCTTTGTAAGTGTAAATATACGTTTGCACACATCGGTAGGCAGAAATGGTGTTCAAGATGACATTTCAAACGCCGTGAATGCCAGTTACCCAAAAAGCATTCAATGCACTTTCCTTGGGCCCTGTGTTATAATTGGGTTACATATTCAGTTTTTATTGTGTGAAATCCTGGCAAGCTTGGATGGGGTGAGGGGGGAATCCTATCAACTCCAGGGCCAAGTGCGCAGGAAGGGGATACTCAGGCTACATTCTTCAGTCTCATTTTCACTTGCAGGTGACTCTGTGAACGCAGACACACATCTTGTGTGGGACTTAACTCATTCATTAGTTATATATAGTGTGAAGCATCACACACAATCTCGATTTCAAGAAGAACAAAGGCCGAGAAAAATAAACAAGCATCGTGTCGTAAAGCAAAGGGCTTCAAAGGTCAAGCTAAGAAGATGACTCCCTTCCACCTCCAGCTCTGCACCTCCCTTGGCTGACAGCTGTGTGGTGACAGACTTGAGCATTACGTCCCGGCTGCGAGGAACAACCAGACTCCTGGAGAACCGCAGCTTTTTCTGTGGGTTCGTCCTTATATCCCTGGAAAAGAATGAGGCGCTTTCTCCTACCCAAGAAAAGCCCTTGAAACCTGGCCGAGGATCTGACTCTGGCGCCTGCTCTCTTTCGCCTTGGTGGGGCTCACGGCAGCGCACGTTGGCTCCAGGCTGGAGGAAGGGGGGCGTTGCTGTCGCACTCGCTCTTGCAGCCTCCCAGTCTACTACAGAACTGCTGAAGTTCCAGAATGGGCCCCTGTTGTCCTTGGGTACAGTCTGCACCTTTAATGCGAAACCCAGCAGAGGCAGCACCAAGAGTCAAGTCGGCCTTCGCCGTCCGTCCTCCTGTCCCCAACACCTGGCGCCGCCAACTCCCGACAAAGCGACTCCTGGTGCTTGGTGCTCTGCCCTCTTTCAGGGATTCTACTGTACCTTTCTTCTACTCTCTAACACTACTCTTCTTTTGCTTTCTTTTTTACACAGAAATTAGCAAAGTTCTCCCCTCTTTTTCCCCTTCTCCAAGTTGGAGGATTCTTCCAGCCATCAGGGAATACAGGGAAGGTTCTAGCTCAAGAGAAGGTTCTTCTCTTTTGCCCCGGGATGCAGGAGCCTGGTAGAACTGGAACTTGGAGGACAGTGAGGCAGACACAACCAGACTCCGGAGCACAGGCACTTTCTTTCCCAGACGAGTTTCCCCTCGCTCTTCCGGACCACCCCACCCGGGTCAGCCTCCCAGGTCACCCCACCTCGCGCGCTCCCTGGGGACCTCCTGCCCGTCCCTCCATCCTCGCCCTCGCGTCCCAAGTCTAGGCCGCTCCCGTCCAGGTGCCCGCCCCTCCTGTCCCGCTGCCTCCCGTTGAGTCCCTCCTACCGCCTCGTCTGGTCACTAGAATAGTTTTGAACCCTTGGGTTCCACACTGTTTCCCTCCCAAGCCAGGCAGCGTATCTCTCAAGAAGTAGGGAAAGGTCTCCATCAACTTTGCCGTTACGGAGCAGTGTCCGCCGGCGGGCGCGGGGCACACACCTGCCTGCACGCGGGCGCGGGTCCCCGGGTCGGGGAGCACTCGCGGGGCGCAGGAGCCGCCCTCCGCCACGGCGAAGGCGCCCTAAACTCGCTCGCTACAGCCGGCAGGGACGCGCGGCGCTGGGAGGGCATAAAACGGGAATTTCGAATTGAGCTTGGGAAGCGGGGACCAGAAAATGGTGATTCTAAACACACGCGAGCTTCGCCACACAGCAGTTCCACCCGAAAGGCGCACACTTTTGAGAACAGACCATCGTGGATAGCACCGCACAGAAACCTCCTCCAAGGCACGTTCCTCGTTGGAACTGACAACCCCTTTCGTCTACTGACTTCCCCGCACGGTCGAAGACAGCCCGGTGCACTCGAGGATGGGGACTCAGGCGCTCCCGGAGCCCGCAGGTCCGTCTGCAGAACCCCCCCGGCAGGTGCGGGCCCCCACCTGGCCAAGCAACAGGGCCGGGTCCCTCTCTGCCCTGTACCCGCACGGGTCACCTCTCCCTGCCCCCCCAGGCAGCCAGCCGGGCCGAACGAGCGCTGGGTAAGGAGCAAGCCGAGCGAACCACTCACCCCTAGCTTCCTGCTGCGGATTTTCACGTAGCCCTGCTTGACTATGTCGTTAAAGTTGGAGGCCATGGCCAGCGCGATCGGGCTCCTGCGCTCCGCGATCCGCTCTC